AGGCAGGAACTTGTGGTTGGACGCACAGGAGGAGGGCCTGACGCTCGTGACCGATCCATCCATTCCTACAAGAACAGGTACTAGCGTTTGCGCGGATACCACGCCAGATTTGACGTTCACCAAAAATATACTGGACACGCAATGGACCAATACGCAACATGACTTGGGAAGCGATCATTTTATACTTGAAATAACGGTGAGGGCAGGGCCGCGGAAGGCAAAAGGCAGACAACTTAAACTTGTCGATTGGGACAAGTTCCGAAACATCAGAGAGGAGCCCGACGAAATGATACGGAGTATTGAGGAATGGACCGAAAAGTTAAAACGAGACGTGGAGGCCGCTACGCAACGGTGCCACCGGAGGCGCAGCTAGAGTATGTAGACAATAAGCTTCTCCACATGTGGGAAGCTAAGGAAGGTTTACAACGGAGGTGGAAAAACCAAAGGCACAACCGGACACTTCGTAGAAAGATAGCTAAATTGAACAGAGATATAGAGCAATACGCCCAGCAGCTGTGCAGACAACAGTGGGAGGAAAAGTGCAATGACATGGACAACCAGATAGGAATGGCGAAAACGTGGACCATCCTTAGACATTTGTTAAACCCGGACGGAAACAAGTTGGCAGAAAGGCACAATATTAATCGGTTAATACAAAGATATCAAGGTACAGAGCAGGATTTCCTGAATGAAATCAAGAAAACATACATCTCTCAAGCGCTTCCCGTTACACACCCTGATTACACAGGGCTAGCAAATGATGATTTAGACAACGAGATCGGGGAGGCAGAAGTGAGGGCCGTCTTGCAAAAACTCAATACTAGATCAGCACCTGGACCAGATGGCATAACTAACAAAACGCTACGCAATTTGGATGACGAGTCCATAACTAAGTTAACTGAATTCATTAACAAATCATGGAAGGCAGGACAGATTCCGCAACAATGGAAGACGGCAAAAATTGTGTTAATACCCAAGCCAGGCAAGCGAGTGCAGATTGCGGACTTGAGGCCCATTTCTCTCACATCTTGCGTGGGGAAACTCATGGAGCACGTGATTCTGGAGAGGATAACTACCTATCTAGAGTACCGGGATGCGCTTCCACCCACAATGATAGAGTTCAGGAGGAACCTCTCAACGCAAGACGCAATGCTACAGTTAAAACATCAGATTATAGATAATCCGGGAACAGCGACATAGGCCATTCTAGGGTTAGACCTCAAGAAGGCCTTTGATAATGTAACCCATGCAACGGTGCTAAAAAGGGTAAACGATCTAGATCTGGGACAACGGACGTACAATTACGTGCGTAATTTCCTGACGGGAAGGAAGGCAAAGATCATGATAGGGGACCTAGTTTCAGAGGAAATTGAGGTGGGCAGTGCAGGTACGCCGCAAGGCTCGGTATTATCACCTATGTTATTCAATCTGGCTCTAATTGGACTGCCAACCAAACTCCAAGCAATCGAAGGACTGAATCATACTATATATGCAGATGACATCACCCTATGGGTGAGAAGTGGTAGTGATGGCGAAATAGAGGAAACGCTTCAAACAGCAGTCGAAACGGTCGAGCGGTATCTGGAAGGTACTGGGCTAGCCTGCTCTGCGGAAAAATCAGAGCTGTTGCTGTACAGACCTACTCGTAGAGGTCGCAAACCAGGCAACTGCCTGCAAGGTCTTGCTCATAGAGAAGAAATACAGTTAAGAACAGCCGATGGAAAAACCATACCCATAGTCGACAGGATCAGAGTACTGGGTCTGCTCATCGAAGCTAAGGGCAACAATGGAGAAATCCTCAGGCGATTGGATGCAACTGTAGCCCAAATAATGAGACTCATAAAAAGGATAGCAACTAAGCACAGTGGCATGCGGGAGGAAAACACGATAAGGTTGATACAGGCATTCGTGATTAGCAGAATAGTATACGTAGCGCCATACTTAAAATGGCAAGTCGCGGAAAAGATCAAGCTAGACTGCCTCATTCGAAAAATATTCAAACTAGCTATAGGGCTACCGATTAGCACAAGCACCGACAAACTGTTACAGTTAGGCCTGCACAATACAATAGATGAGCTTATTGAGGCGCAGCGTACGGCGCAATATGAACGTCTCTCTAAGACACGAGCAGGAAGACATATTCTAGAGCGACTAGGCATAACGTATCACACGCAACACGGCGTTAAGGTGGACATTCCAAAAGAGACCAGGGAAACAATGATGATACCACCCTTGCCAAAAAACATGCACCCTGAACACAATAAAGCTAGACGAGAGACAAGAGCAAAACAAATACAAAAAAGTTCGGTAATGACAAGGACGCAGTTTTCGTAGACGCTGCTCGATACAAGCGCAAACGGGGGTTTACCGCAGCCGTAATCGATAGCAACAAACGCTGTATGACATGCGCGACGATACGCACCACAAGTACCGAGACAGCGGAAGAGGTAGCCATAGCGCTCGCTGTAGCTCAGACAAACGCAACCGTGATAGTCAGTGACTCTCAAACAGCAGTGAGAAACTTTGCCAACGGCCGCATCTCCCCGGAGGCACTACAAAGGAGGGTGTCGAACAAGCCCCAGAAATACATATATTATATGGACACCTGCTCATGCCATCGCGGGGGACAGCAACAATGGGGCTGTACATGACGCAGCTCGAGGGCTCACCGACCGAGCTGCCCTCTCAAGTGCCGCCCCAACCTCCTCCGGTGATTACGGCGTGGCAGACGAGTGGGAGTGGGAAGACAGAATGACCAGATACAATGAAATTACAAAGCATTATAGATTACAGAGGGGCATATTCCCGCCACCTCACCCAAAATTAACAAAAAAACAGTCTGTCGAATGGCGGCAGTTACAAACTAGGACATATCCGAATCCTGCACTATCGCACATTATATATCCTGATATATACAAAACGGACAGGTGCAAGCGTTGCGACTCCAGAGCCACTCTGGAGCATATGTTATGGGAATGTAGAGGGATTAGTACTCATAACAAGTATGCGGCCTCTGCTGACAGCCTTCGCGCGCGCTGGGAGGCCGCAATGCTCAGTTCCGTCCTCGAAGACCAAATGTGGGCCGTCCAGCGGGCCGAGGAAGCCGCCAGGATTCAAGGACTCCTGGCCGTAACCTAGGCGGGGCCAATCGCCCACCCCATCTACTCGCCGGACTCTGAATAAAGTTCTTTCCTCCTCCTCCTCCTCCTCCTCTTCTTCGTCATGAGGGATACAGCAAGCGGCCACATTTTCGTTCGCGTCTTAAGGGCAGCTTTCAATTTGAAAGAAAATATAAAAACGTTGCTGATAGAAAATACGCTCAAGTATTTTCGAGATCTGCGGATCGCGAGCGGCGAATAGTGCATATATGCACAGTTCGCCATTATATCACCTGCACAAGCATGGCGCGCGGCTGTGTTGGCTAGCGCAGTAGGCCGTAGAGCGATGGGTCTTTGGTTCAAATCTCGGACATCTTGCTTTAGATTTTCTTCTACAGATTTTTATTTTTGCGCTTTTTTTACATATATAGGTACACGTGCATATCCAGGACATGACGGCGACGGCAAAAATTTGCCAGAATTGTCCATATAACTGATATCGCAAAAAAAAAATAGAGCGGAGAGCAACTGAGCATCTTCAGTCGCTTCCCAACCACAGCGATCATCTGAGACAATTTGAGATAAGTTGTCTTGCGACCAACTTAGCCGTGCGGTCACTGCGTCATTGGCGTGAATGAGCCTGGACGGCACAGGCGTGCGCACAGGAAGGGGGGCGGCAGCCCCCTTTAGTCACCTCAGAGAGCGGGGTGCGGGGGGCGCGAAGTCTGCCCAGCTTCCACAAGGGAAGCGGTGCGCTGCGACAAACCTTGGCTCCCCGTCCGAAGGGGAACCCTACCCCCGCTTTATGCAGTATAGAGTACGAAACATCTCCAGTGAGTCTTTCTAACCAGATCTGTCGTAGCGCACGAAACATTGAATGAGGTCAGGGAAGAGATACGTAGTAACAGACATGCATTGTTCTATTACATTTTCGCAATAGCAGATCGTGAATATTCTACAACAGTAGCCGACAGCAGCCAACGTTGGCCTGCGCTAGAATTATGAGAGTAGGTTCGGTAGGCGTTACACAAGCTGCACTTTTCCCTGGATATCCCTAGGGCATATTAGGACGTCACAGTAGCTTTATTTGACTGTATGCCCTCCGTTACAACACTATAGATTTCGTGACCAAATTTTAGCTCCATAAGTATCTTAGTTTTAGGCTTATCCAAGAGGAGTTGGGTGTCTGCCGTTTCATACCGAGGCTCTTTGACAGGATGATGCGCGTCAAGTCGCTGATTGTCTCTGCCTTTTCTACATATCAGTCAGTTATAGCGGTTAATTTCCTAACAGCGTCATTTAAACTCTTTTTTTGTAAGCATTTCGAGTTCCTCCTCACTGCAGCATTTCTTTTTCTGTTTCCCATCGTCCTGCTCCTACCTTTTTTGAATTTCCACAAATGCGCAGTGTTGCTTTCGTGCAGAAGCTACTGATGTTCTCCACTTGTTCTGTGATGGGCACATCGCATATGCCACCTGTCACATTTACGACATCACAAATATTGCGCTGTGAAATGTGCGACAATGTTTATTAAAAAAGAGAATTGAGAGACATTCAAGAGTTTGCGAAAATTTTAGCACTTTCAATGACTTGAAAACAAACTTTTCAAACTTAAAGGTTTTGGAAGATTTCAGGGACTCGCCCGAATCCTGAAAATGTACGCATTTTTTTTGACAGACTCGATTATATATATGATAAGTTCAACAAGACTTGCTCCCGGGCGAGTTGATTCACAATTGAAATGTAAAGGCGGTTGCGCACAAACTACACAAGGCACTCGTTCGTGTCCACTGTGTCCTTGTGTAATTTGTGCGCAACCATTTTTTTCCTTCCGAACGACAATATGCACGTCGCAAGGGGTAACAAGTTCGCAGCCAGGCCGACAAGAAGACGGGAACGTACCAGCGGCTTGGTGCCCTGCTGGTGGTGCAGCGCCGACATGGGCAGGTAGCCCGAGGAGGACGTGGTGTTGGCGTTCCAGCCGGCGGTGCTGGTGGTGGTGCTCTCCTCGTCGAAGGAGCGCGCCGAGGTGAAGAAGGCCGGCGGAGGGACCTGCGCCAACTCGGCGGGGCTCAGGCTCAGCACGAGGCCCCCACCGCCGTTGCCCGTCGACCGATGGTGGTGGTGGTCGTCCAGGGGACGCAGGGAAGAGGCCCGGGCCACGTCGCTGCGAGGGGAGTGAAGGAGACTATTGCGTTGTGTGATGTAACTTCGCAAAGCGCATGTTGGGTACTCGTTTGTAACTGCTATGAAGAAGTGTGGCAGCTTGGGCTAGTTGGTATGGCATGACGATAGTTATAGCGCGTGTCTCTGTGTCGTCGTTTTGTTCTCGCGCTATAACTATCGTCATGCTATCACAGACGACAGACAGGAAAATGGGACACACACAAGCCCTGTGACGATATGAAACGGGTGGGTGAGAGAAATCTCTCATCGCGGAGGACACATCAACCGTAGGGTGCGGGTGGAGAGATTGGAATGAATAATCATAGATGGAGCAAGTAGACAGCCGCGAGGACTCGTTCGAACGGAAAATGAGAAAAGAGAGGAGGGGGGGAGAGAATGAAAAGCACGAGAAGTTAATTAGACGCACGCGCGGCGTGGAAGCCAATGGAAGGTGGCTAAGCTATAAAAGAAGGAAACGCGATGAGCATTGTTTCATTATGGGTACATATGAAATATATATTACTTTCTATCATATACATCTCGTATGGATATATATGGTATATATTACCTCATAGTTACTGACTGATAGCACAGTCAGCAACTGTAAGAAATCGGTTTTGGAGCCTCAGCTGGCGCAATGCCGGCGTGAGGCTGAGCATCGCGTAGGGCAGGGGTATGAAACTCGCTTCAGCTACAGCGCCGCAGTCACCTAATTTAATTTCATAAAGGGCCGGGACAGTGAATACGTGAGAAGCGGGTAGGGGGGGGGGGGGGAGTTTAAAACAAAGTTTCAGCTAACGTTGCTATCTGAAAGAAATGTTTTCCCCACGTCTTATGTATGGACCTTACCTAAAGAAAATTCGACGCAAGAAACACGGGGAGTCACCCGAAAAAAAGAAAATGCTCAAGATCAGTCACTTCTGTGGAGCTTGCCCGCGCAAGGAGTTATACCCATTTGGGGAGACAAAAATGCGACAACGATTCACCAATGTCGCGAACAGTCGCAAAGTCATAAAAAAAGAGTATGGGATGGAGACTGCCATAAGCGGACCGCAAGAGACACCTCGGCGAGACGCGTGTTTGAGAATCCTAGCATACGGAATGCGCTCGAGGTACATACGAGAAGATGATACATGCGTAGGCTTTGCGGCGATGATCACAAGTCGAAAGTGCGTTCGTTTTTAACCTGTAACCAAACTTGTGTGTGAGAGAGAGAGCCATAAGAAAAGCGAAAAGGCCAGCGATGCCTACCATGAACGTTTTAAGATACTGTTGCCTACCATGTGGGCGCAAATTCCGCCATTTTGGCATTTTGAGCCAACCTGTTGCCTACCATGTGGGCGCAAATTCCGCCATTTTGGCATTTTGAGCCAACCATGGGAGGCAGTATATAGTAACCACGTGTGTGAATCCAAGCTTACATGATGGCCACCATGACAAAGCGTCATATGAATTCGACAGTGTCCAGAACGAATAATAATAATAATAATAATAATAATAATAATAATAATAATAATAATAATAATAATAATAATAATAATAATAATAATAGTACCAGCTTCAGTCGGCCACCCCCCTCCCCCAAAAGATACGTTATTATTACTACCATCAGACGCAACCCCCTCTGTGCAGAGCTGGTTTTACGAACTATAGCTGTGCCAACACCTTTTTCGTCGTATTGTCAGGTGAGACGGAATATACATCGATCATGTCGTGAATTGCAGAAACAACCGAGCAAAGCGCAGCTGAAAATGATTGTTTCTGAAACCGACTAAACAAAACAACGTGCTCGATGGTCCACTTACCCCCCCCCCCCCCCCCCGCTTTACGCTAGGCGTGGTAGTCGTTCCAATACGGAAGGCTCGAAACCAGGGTTTACGAGATGGGGTCACCTTTCGTAGTTGGAGGCCTGGATGAGTCCGGACAGCCTGCAGTTCGGTTGTAAATCTGCAGCATGCCAACTGATTTCTACGCGAACTATGTGCGACGGCTTTCTCGATTCCAGCCCGCCAACTGTGCCGGCTGCACGCCCTCCTGACGACGAGATCGATTCACGCGAGTCGTTTTTTTACCTGCTGACCGAACAGCGCCATCGACGCGCTCGTTACCCATGGTGACGCGCAACTGGAACACATTTTCGTTTGTTTCTTTAGGTGCACGTTAAAGTGAGTCGAAGTTTCCGGAGTCCACCATTACGGCGTCTGTCATAAAGCCACATGATGGTGGTCTTGGGACGTTAAACCCCAACAATTATTATTAACGGTGCAGCACCAGTTAGTGGCGACCATCGAGCAAAACTCTTTGCGAGCCCGTTTACACTGACGTGACGCTGCTCTTGCGTAATACAGACGTAGCAGCTCTCACCTGATCGCTTTTACCGATCGTCGTTAAAAGATTGCTGACGGTGTGCTGCATTTTGACATTTAGGATTGATTGATATGTGGGGTTTAACGTTCCAAAACCACCATAAGATTATGAGAGAAGCCGTAGTGGAGGGCTCCGGAAATTTCGACCACCTGTAGGGTTCTTTAACGTGCGCCCAAATCCGAGCACACGGGCCTACAACATTTCCGTCTCCATCGGAAATGCAGCCAACGCAGCCGGGATTCAAACCCGCGACCTGCGGGTCAGTAGCCGAGTGCTTAGCCACTAGACCACCACGGCGGGGCGCATTTTGACATTTAGGAGTAGATCAAAGCTGGGAATGAGAGAAGATGGCGTTGAAGGTATTGGTCAGGGGTTTCCACTTTCGAGCTTCTGCTTGGTGTTTAACAGTGGAGCAACTGTTTATGATCAAAACCGCCTGTACAGAAAATAGTCTGTTACGTGTTTTTTTTTTTTTTTGAAATTCAAGGAATTCAACCCGACTCGCGCAAAACATGTTCAAAGTCTCGCAGTGTCGAAATTGGGTAATATTGCTTTCACGCGAAAACGAGAAACATGCCAATACTTCGTATACTTCGTACCCTGAAACGGGCCAACGTGGCTCCACCACCGGAGCTCAAGGATGCCCGCGCCTTCATTAACTGAAGCAGCTCCACAGTCCAACTTCATTTTCAAACCTCGCGCTTCCTTGAGACCGCAATGCAGGCTAAACTTCCAGTCAGCGAAGAAGAAGGCGACGCAGGAACGTTCCGGTCCGATTCCGTACACGACTAGAGAGTCGCACTCCGTACATCTTCCCACTTCCATTACAGAATCACTAGAGCGCGCCGCACGGGGGGACTTTCCCTCGTAAGGTTGCTAATGGGAAATCTACAACGTACATAAACCCGAGACAAAGCCCTCGCTTTCTCCTGAGAAGCTTCGCACCATACGCTTACGCAGCCACAGACGACCAGCGGCCGGAAACGAAAGAAGAGATGCAATTAAGGGAAACGATGTTTGTAAGAACGTCCGCAGACTGGGAACTGCGCAACCGGAGGCCATTTGGAGGCGGAACAACGTTCGCACGGACGCACGCGCGCCGGCCGACGGCCTCGCAGAAGAGGTGGTAAGCAAGAGCAACATCTAGTAGGTACGAAGTGCATGCCACGGTACATGCTTCGTACGCATTCCGTGAACTGCCGAAAAAGCTCGAGCCGGATGCCCTACCATCGTACAGAACGTGTTGTTATGTGGTTGGTTCGTATACTAGCAGGTTTTACAAGCCTGCGCTTCAGACTGGGCAGTGTCTGCGTTCTTGTTCTGTCCCGTCTAACAGCATCTGCATCACCCGGCCTTGATTAGATCGAGTGAAGCCATTCGTTCGATAGATTTAAAGAACTCTGGATGCAGCACTGAGCGAAGGCTCGAGAGGCCAACGCTTCCTAGTTAATCAGCATACACGTGCGCACAGGGAAGGGGGCGAGGGCAAGGGGAGAGGTTGCACCCCCGTCAACTGAAAGAGGGGGGGGGGGGGGCGCAAGGTCTGTGTTATACATTCATTTAATACAGAGGGGGGTGGCACTGTGACCAGCCTTTACATTTCCCTGAAACAGAACCCTGCGCACGTTTATAGTCTATGTCTAGCGTTGCTCGTATCCTTTCCAGCCCTGCAGGCTATACACTGCAGCTCAAAGGTTTCAAACGCACCACAACCAGAGCTATTGACCCCGCAAGCGCTCGGCTGGTGCACCGCAAAAAGCATCAAGGGCCACCCTCGGATTTGCCATGCCGACCCGCGTACCTGTCTCCTACTTGACCTCTTTGATGAGCAGGAACACGCGTATACTGAAGACGGAGTAGTCCAACACGACGTCTACAAATCGACCCGAGACGGGACTGTCAGCGAGGTGTGACCACTCTGTCACGCTCCGCAGGTGATGCATAACGGAAAAGGCGCTTCTCGGCAGCTCCTTCACTGTCCAACTTTTTCTTCCGGCCGGCCTGTGGCGTAGCGTGCAACCTAGTCAGAAGGAAGGTAAAGAATAGAAGTATACGGAAGGACGCACTGGAACCTTCAAAGTCGAGGTAATTCGTGATAATTACGCTCACTGAGAAAGCACGGTGATGGGATAATCAAGACACGCAACAATGGGGAAATAAACACATAACAAAAAACAACGCGAGTCAGCCGAGATGCATTAACGTGGTCACGTTCCCTCGCCTGAGCTTCTTTTGTCTTCCAAAAGCGGAGCAGCGTCCTTGTAAGACAATAACTGACAAGCGCCGAGTTCGTGAACCTAATATTTTTTAGCGGGGTTGCCATACTAAAGAGCAACGCTATACCAGTTCAGACCAGCAAACCACGCCTTTTAAGGCACTGCTTTTGTTGACGTATAAAGAATTGGCCGTTGGTGAAGAAGATTAAGAAAAATATTCATTTTCGCTTACGCAGGTGCGGCGCGCAAGTGTGGCGTCACATATATATGTAGCGTTTTCGGAACACGAGAAATATATAAGTAGGCTGAGTAATTATTTGGCTCGGAATTCAAGCAGCCCTGTTTATTGAGAAACGACCAACTACGCACCTGAGCAGATTCTTAAAGACGCATCCTTAGCGATGGTGGCGTCAAAAGAAGCCCTCTTCTATAGAGTGATAGCACACCACGAGCGCGCGAGCATGAACATAAAGATATGAGTGAACCCTTCAGCTTATCAATATGCTTCACCTTCATAAAATATCCCATTGAGGCAAAGCTGCCTTTCAGGATTCGCTATTGCTTCGTGCCTGTGTACGTCTCCATCTTTTGTGTCTTCTGCGCTACCACATTCCGATCTGCCCGAACTTGCCACACCTCTTCCCTTATCACTAGAACTTCCCAAAGATAAACGAATAGCTCACCCGAGGGAGGGCCTCTTGGCGTGCCTGGAGGCGTGCATGTCGAGCAGCATGTCCTGCGAGCCGCCCAGCCCGGCCGAGTTGCGCCGCGGGAGGCCCGAAGACTGCACGGGCCGCGGCGCGGGACTCGCAAACGCCGGCGGAGGGCTGATGGAGCGCGGACTGGCGTCCGCCGAACCGCCGCTGTCCGCTTCGGCGCGCTCTGCAAGTGGCACGAGAGGGCACAACACGAGAGCGATTAGTGTGCGCACACGTGCCCCACAAGGTCAGAATGATGTAAAGGTATACGCTTCCCGAAGGTCTGCATTCTGCATGCTTCGCTCGGTCATGTGTCTCCATGACAACACAGACAAGGGGGAATATGTATACATCCTAACAAGCGCAAAGTAACAATTACACAACGAAGAGACACGTAAACAAGACGGGCGATAGCGACGGTCCTGTTGACCTGTTTTGCACTGTTGTGTTTACATATCCCGTCCTTGTGTAATTGCTGCTTTGCGCCTGTTAAGACGTTCTCAGTTACGACGAACTAGCCCAAATGTATGTGAAGAATCCCCACACGTATATCGCGTCTCTTTCGAGTACAGAAAAACATAACCTATTGGAATCTTTTTTTTTCTAGGTAGCACTGGGAGTTTTTGCAAGACGGAGCGCGGCGACCCGACGCACCACGATACAAAGCCCGAGTATCTCACGAGGCAGAATGTCTAATACTGCTGTTCAGCGAGACACTATATCCACTGTTCGACATTCAGGACGAAAGCTGGCAGCTAGTTAACAAAGTATTTACAATAAACGCCCCCACGGAAGCATTGTAAGACATTGCATATGATTATTCTTAGTAACTGCATCACCTAAACAACTACCCGATGTTAAGGAACACTTGGTCGACGCTGGAAAACATTATCTATTGTTAACTATACTAGGCGACATCGGCAGCTGTTTAGCCTGCACTAGCAGCTATTAGACACGAACATTAAAGTCTAGCCTATACTTATCGTCCTTTAGACCACATTATACATCATTAAATACCATCACCCAACACCAGCCGACATTGCCCTCTATGTAACCGACATTACCCAACGTTAATCAGTGCTGGTGGTCTGAGCCAATTGCGATAGGTCTTTTTCTCGCAGTACGCAAGTAAATATGTTAGGTCAGAACAATTCATTATTGTCCGCAATCGCTGCTCTTCAAAAAAAAAAGTAGGAAGGAAATAGAGGGATTTCGAGGGAGGGAGAGGAGCACGTGGAATACAGTTCTTCTTTTTTTTTTTTTTTTTGCTGTGGCGACTGTGATGGCCAGCTTTCTTTCTTGCGCCCCCAATGCGGTAAAGTTAGTTACTTCAGGTGATTCCACCCCCCCACAAACTCTCTCACTCACGGGAATTCCATGGTCTCCCACTATATAGCCTGTTCACTATTGCACAATGAGCAGGATGGGCCAACATATAGTATTACGTTACGGGCGGAAAGACGCGCTATTTGCCAAGTCAAGTATAGAATGCCTGCCTATACGTGTTACTATCAATACATCTTCTCAATAAGGTTGATAACTAAGCCGCGTTGGTAATTGATCATTTTACCAAAAGGTTAAGTATAGCGCAGTTTTTAACATGGACAAGAGGGATAAGAAGGACACGACACTCGCAACTAAATTTATTACAGAAAAATACTTCATATATATGCCCCCACGCTGACTCTCAGTGACACAGATATGAAATAACAGACACTGAAAACTAATCGAATATTACCTTTTTGAGCACTTTACGATAGAATAGTTGCGGCAAGCGTAGAAATGAGCTCAACAACGCAAGCATTGCTGAGCTCTGTTGATCTCATTTCTGCACGTGCCGCAATTATTTTATCGTTATGTGCTCAAAAGGTAATAATAGATAAGTTTTCAGTCTGTTATTTCATATCTGTGTCACTGAGAGTCAGCGTGGGGGCATATATATGAAGTATTTTTCTGTAATAAATTTAGTTGCGAGTGTAGCGAGTGTTCTGTCCTTCTTATCCCTCTTGTCCATGTTAAAAACTGCGCTACTTAACCTTACGGTAAAATGGTACATCCTCTCTACCAATGTCTTTCACATGTGCAAACTAATATTTCCGCATTCTGCACCTGCTATCTGTGAACGGTTAGCGGCTGCTTCCTGGGTCTACTGACGAACAACCAGTGCTGCTTACTGCCGGCTAAACGACGCGTAATATGATGCGTATAGTGTAGGTTCCATTACTGGCAAATGTCTCTTTTAACAAAGTAAAATCAGCGCAAAAGACGGACACAAGGGCGAAGCCGACAGGAACAGGCGCTATACCGACAACTGTTCAGTCCACAATGCCCCGCCGCGGTGGTCTAGTGGCTAAGGTACTCGGCTGCTGACCCGCAGGTCGCGGGTTCGATTCCCGGCTGCGGCGGCTGCATTTCCGATGGAGGCGGAAATGTTGTAGGCCCGTGTGCTCAGATTTGGGCGCACGTTAAAGAACCCCAGGTGGTCGAAATTTCCGGAGCCCTCCACTACGGCGTCTCTCATAATCATATGGTGGTTTTGGGACGTTAAACCCCACCAATCAATCAAATCAGTCCACAAGACTTCGATAGGTCTGCATTTCTTCGGAATTTAATTTCATGCAGAGCGCTCTTTGATCTTTCGCGGCGTTTTCATGACGAGCCACGGCGCATGCGCGACAACCTGTATATCGTTCGACGGGCTTTTTTCGCAATCAACACTTCTCAACCTGCCTCGTCTTCCTGTCAGGCTTATTTATCGCCATTTGCGCTTTGTGAACGTGCAGCACCAACTAGCAAGACCGCTAATATAGTAGCAAACGCCAGCCAGTATTCACTTCGTCGGCCGTCCGCTGTTGTAACAGATACACCGCGCTCAAGAAATCTCGATCCATTGACCCTATATCGCAAATACATAGACACCCTCATTCGCTTCTGGATGAAGTATTCCATTGCAACGTATCAGTTTTGGAGCTTATAAACGGAAGTTCATGACAAGGACGATGCATGCGCACAGCGGGTCGTTCTTTAACTCGAGATATGCCAACATGTATGCTGTAGACAACCTGTCGCGGTCAAAAGAAGCAAGCAACGAGGTGCTGGAACTCTAGAACCATTCGGTCAGCGTTTCCCTCGCATATCGAGTCCGCACTACAAGCCAGCAAGGAAACCGGACGGCGGTACAACTTTCAAGCATGACACCTGCAGGTTTACAGCTTGATACAGCGCGTTGGGTTTCCTTACTTTTCTATATCCCTCTTAACAGTTAGTGTAAAGCACTTTTGCAATTCTACGTACCAGTGTTGGGTTACAAACTTGGTACGTCGGCGCTGCAAACCGTTGGCCTTCATCTCTATACGACAACATGGGATTGTAATGCCCTGCCTGCAAAGACTAAAGCTCTATCAAACACACGTATTCATGGATATTACCGAAACTAGCTTGCATTTGTAGATTTAATTATTTGCATCGACGAACAAGTTTGGGGGAAAAAACGCTTTCTGCGTTATTTTTCCAAATGTAAACTTCATTATTCATTGGCTGTCTCAATCCCAACTTGCAAGCAACTCCACTCGCATCACCATCGCCAGCGTCGATGCTTATAGTCGGCCCCGAAAAACGTTAGGCTCGCAGGGTTCGTGCCGCTGCGAACCACCGGCCTCGCGTTCGAAAGAAAAACAGTTCCTTGAACAAATTGCAACGAATACACGCCGCCGCCTGGCTTGCCCACAACAATAGCCACTCGCGTGGCCACAAGGGCTCAGCCTTGAGGCAACATTTACATCTCTAATTACCGCGCCACGAATCGTGAGGCGGGCCGGCGAGCCACCCGGAACAGCGACGGGGAAGAAGGAACGTAAAGAGTACAAGGCTAAAGAAGAAGAGGTGAACGGACTCTTGCGTAAGTACACGGTTGTGTATTTAAACAAGCATGTACGCGAAAAAGAATAACAAGGAACCTGTACAGGTGAGCGCTGAGCAACGAATGATTTATTCTCGGTTAAACAGCGCACGTAATTGCCGCAAACCACTTGCCTCCTGCGCGCAAGAACGAAATGTGACAACACTGTAGACCTAGCTATCGCATGCGCGAACATTACGGTTCCTGTATCGGGTAACTATACGTCTGCAGTGTTGGCAATATCCGCACTTCCAGTGCGCGCGCAGGCAAGTGGTTCTTAGCATTTACGCACGCTGTTTAAACGAGAATAAATCAGTTGTTGCTCAGCGCCGGTGCTTGTCTATAGCCTCCTCTTTGTGGTTTTTCTTGGTTAGTGCGGTATTACTTCTTTTCAAAAAATTATGCACCACTATAGGCCCGACCAATGTTTTATGACCACCTTTACGGCGGTCGACCATGCATGTTTCTGTGTGTGAAGTGAAGTGAAGGGTGCAGCAGACTATAGTAAAGGCCGGGGACTGCGACAGAGAAAATAAAGGGGGAATGCATAGGTGTGCGCAGAGTTCCCCTTCTTGGGGGAGGGGAACTCTGCGCACACCTATGCACCTATGCGGGGGTTACGATGACAAATGTTCATCGTAACCCCCGTCCCAATTATGCCATTGTATGACACTGGCCTTGCACCCACTTCCCTATTATGTGAATGTACGGGGCTCATTTTGCAGCTCTGGGCCCCTCTGAGTTGACCCCCCCCCCCCCCTGCCCTCCCTAGGGCGCACGCCTACGGTGGAATGTCTACAGCACAATATGAACTCGAAGTTTCCAGCTAAAGCGATCGTTTATCACTCGCACACATGCAAGGCACCATACGGTGGTGACACAAAGCAACAATATATATATATATATATATATATATATATATATATATATATATATATATATATATATATATATATATCCATTGAGTGGACTTTCCATTACAGCACACGTTGATTGGACATAATTGCAGAGTCGGACGAGCAGAGATAATCATCATCTTAAGTTCCGCCAAGTCCCAGCAAAACCATGGGCTGAAGTGAACACTCCATTTGGCGGAATCTCGCGCACAAAATTTTGTCACAGTCAGTGGATACCCTTTAGACCAAGCTACGAATACCATTTCAGTGATGATGAAATTCCTACATGCCGCCGTGCCTGTTACCAGCGTCGCCTGCGTGCCCGAAATGACAGAAAGGTTGGTTCGTATGCACCCACCTCGGATCATGTCCCGTGCCTGTTTGGCGATGCCCGTGTTGAGCTCCTCGAGAACGTCCGTCGCCCTGCGGTTCTGGGCATCGCGGAGGTCCACGTCCACGCCTGCGTGAACAAGCAAAGGCCAACCACCGCGACTCAGCACTGAAGGCGGTCGTATAAAATGGCTATATATACTCTGCATACGAGATCGAAGGTCTTCACCGGTAAAAGGGTTATCTATGTAGACGTTTCCGCGTGAGAACGTCGTAATCAAACGGCTCAAGGAAGCTCCGTATACCCACAAAGACAAAAAAGAAAGGGGGGCTGGGAGAGAAAAAGTTAAACACAACGCACGCAAGCGGAGAATAAGCAACGGGCTATGTCAGCGGTTCAAGTTTGCTTATTTGCTTGTCTTTATTTATTTATTTATTTATTTATTGTTTATTTATTTATTTATTTACATCCAAACTTATTTCTATATACAACCCCCCATCATGGGCTATGGCAAGGGTGGCGACATCACACGTCAATTGCAGACGGAGAATCGGTCATGCATGCCTGGGTTAACTGTACGTAAGCGGCCCGTATAAGCATAACGTCGGAAAGGGCCACGAAACGCAATTAGGCAACAGGACACGACTTCTGCGAGATTTTGACGGCCAATCGCGATTTCGATACGACTATACAGTTCATATTGATCGATGAATATTTTTAAGTAGCGAAAATAAACGCACAGCGAGATTCGAGGACGTTGCGTCGCAAGGCGAGCTGGAACGTTCCTTAAACGGACACCAAAGTGAAACAATGAATAGAATAAAAAAAAGTATATTGAATTTCGAGAACCCTAATGACGTTAATTTCAGCAACATATGCTTATTAACAAGAGATAAATCAAGATGAGAGTTTCGTTTTTAAATATCGCGCCGACATTTCCACACGTGTCATCGCGGATTTCGAACGGTATGTTTCGTATTTCGGCGAGATTGGCTCAATGAAGTTTCCTGAAACTCGATATGTTACGTCTATGGCCCCCTCGGAGCACAATGTAGTTCAATCTTACCGATTAGCGACTGAGTATGACCTAAAAGACGGCGTCCAAATCTACGAAGTCGCTGCTCTTGTTGCAAAAATTTCACAAACGCTAGAAGAGATCGAACAGAGTCGCCGCCTGGCGGCAACTGGCCGAAACGGTGAAGTGCGGATTGCTCCTTGCGTCGTCTGCTAGCCACGTCGTGTTTCTATGTGCGCGTACGTCGTGCACGTTCTCAAAGTGTGGTTTGTCCGGTCATGTCAGCGCGTGTGTAACTGTTTCTACGCAAGCCTGAAAGGACGTACGAAAGCATTTGGTCTTGCTCGGCTGCTAATACATTGTAATAAGATCAGCGAGTGCAACTTTCCAGAGTACTGTTTCTTGTTGTCGTACCCTCGATTCAACAGAATCATTTCAGAGTGCGTGCCGCGTTCTGTTTCAAGCATATCGCGAAATTTCTTGGCATCTTCCCAAAAGTGAGGACTATTAAATGCTGGGTGAGCGCAGCGTTTTATAACAACTCGATTGTAAAAAAAAAGAAAAAGAAACTCAAGGTCATGCACTTGCGCGCTGATGGTAGCTGTACAACTATACGGTGCTGTAGTTTATCGGTCATGTGAAGAGCCTTAGTGGCGTTTATCCGGCCGTGGTAACACAACATGAAAATATTATTCTCACATAAACTGTGAGACTTCGGTATTACATGACGGTACTTAAAACAGAGTTACCGTGCGCAAATGTGTGCTTAGATTTAAGAACGCTTTAAAAAAGCCCAGACGTTGAAACATAATTCAGACGACATGTCTTGTACATCATCTCGTATAATTTCCCTGAAAACTTCTTTTTTTACATTGTTTTCAGCGATTGTGTGGCATTGTTAGTGGCCGACGGGAGGCAGTGGTAATTTTTTGTCCGAAAAAATATATAAACATGCTTGTCCCATCAACCAGAACTGTGTTGTAGCACCATCTTGCACGTAATCCATTGATGAAAGCTTTCTGCTCAATTTTTAGATAACATTTTTACTTGTGCAAGGACATGTGCGTACACGTCGTAAACGCAGTGCAGCGCAAAGCGCCGTCATCCACTAAGCTTTCCTGACTAGACTTATCAACTGTCCCACACATTTCATGGTGAACAGAATGAGAGAAAAAAATCATATCAACGAATCACAAGATATGTGGGCTTTCTACGATCTTTCTTTTTCTCCTTTTTAGGGGCGAAGCTCCTTATGGCATGGCTTGTGCGTCCCTCGTAGTACGTAACCACCAGTGGCACATAGCCGAAATAGCGGTCCTTACAATGTCTGCTGGATGGGGGCACTTGTATATGATGAATACATGATGAAAAGATATGAGGTGGCTGTGCTTGGAGTTTTCTCTAGACATATGGACGGATGAACGGACTGACACACGAAGGGATGGACAGACAGAGGGATGGCCGTAAAAAGAGATGGACGGACAGACAGACGAATGAACAAACGGACGGATGAACCAAGGATCACACAGATAGGCGGACGCAAGAACGAATGGACAGACAGACTGACGAACGCTGCGCCCCACCAATCATCATTCACTCTGTGGATATGCTGTGTTTTTTTTTTTGTAATATGCAGATGTAAATAAATAGTTCAGTCACGCTACAGCAGTGCGTAGCAGGCGGAACACAAGCTAACCACGTACAAACAGCACAGCAAAGACGTCATTTAGTGCGAAAGCGTGAAGAAAATCACCCTGGGCGAGCATCCCCGTGAAAGGCAGAACGCACTTTACTCGCGGGTAATGTTAACGTTGCATAGACGTCGTGCGCAGATTCAGTAGAAAAGAGCGTAGATATTAACGGTAAACTGTAGTGAACGCATTTTATCCGCTGACAATCGGCTTAGGTCACACGCAACGAAGCGCCGCAGCGTATATTTGCATACGCGCCGCCAACCGCCTATCCACACTTTCGCAGGGATGGTGCTGCCACCTATAGCCCGATCTCGCCGCGATATTGCCGCAGCAGCTCGTGCTCTAGCCACCGACGCCCGCTGGAGGTCGAAGAAGCCGCGCAAGATAGGTTCCCAGTCCTCCTGGATGGGGGATGGGTCGGTATACGATTCCAAAAGGCGTGCGCACGCCATGTGTGAGAGAACTCCTTCTCACATTGTGGGATCGCGCGCGAAAACGTAGAATTGAAGTGTCTACTGCCGGGCACACTATAGTCAAGAGGCGCTGAAGCGAGCGCTTTTCCACCCTGGGAGGGTCCCCAGGGAGGACCGTCGAATTCAGAAATGCCGGTTTAACGTGTTAACGCCATAGCGTTAGAGGGCTCGTGTCGCAGAAAACCCGCCGCCGGCGTCGGCCCCGTTGGTTGTGAGCGAAAAATCGTTCATGCGTCTGTGACCGAAAAATCAAGTTACCGAGATAGCCGCGAGAGGCCGCTACTTGTCCACGCGTGCGCACGCGATCACACTGAAAAAGCCACGCGTTCGAAAAAAAAAAAAAGTGCTTAAGGTCACAAGGCGCGGTAGTTCCTGCTGTTTCAGTCCGTCACGGCGGGTCTAGTGCTCGGCCGCTGACCTCAAGGTCACGGGTGCGATCCCAGCCGCTGTGGTCGCATTTTGAAAGAGGCGCAATAGTAGCGGTCAGCGTATACTGTGAGATGTGAGACCACGTTAAAGCGCACCAGGTAGACATTTCCGCAGCGCTCTATATACTACTGCGTCCCGCATAATCATATCGTGATTTCGGAACGTGAAACCCCGGATATTATTATTAACATTTTACTTCAGGACGTCGCGGGAATGTGAGACCTGTCGCTGTAGTATCCCCGTCCCGTAACTTTTGTGATCGGGTAGAGGCAGGATAGAAACTTAATTTGTCTCTATCACGTGCGTTCCCACGTACCATCATTAAAGTTCACTTGCACTTTACTATAAGGCACGCTTTCGCCACGGACAAGAGGTCTGTACTCGCTAGTGTAACGGCCCCTGTCATCGTTCCCCCGTAACGAATCATGCGGAGAAGTAGGCGTCGCAGCCCACACGAGTGCATGGCTCCGGGTGTGCGGGCGAACCACGGCGCGAGACGGAATACGAAACGAGAGCCACGGGAACAGCGCCAGCCATCGATGTAGCGAAGGAAGACCTTTGGCCGGTCACGTGGCCGCTTTTGTTACAAGGGCCTCCACAGAAGGGGTTGGGACTAAGGCGTAGCCAGCTCATTTTCAGCCCACGTATTCAGGTTAAGAAACTTCGTGTCGCTCGAAAAAAAACAAGACCTTAATTCTCTTCTTTGCTGCTTCTCTCTAAATGAGAAGTTCCGACCCCGCCCCCTCCCTCCACTACGCGTCCACAATTTGTGACGAACTACTCAATGCTTTATCTTTAACAGAACAATAAAAAGAAAGAAGCAGGCACGAAACCTACTACAATGTGTGGCCTGACTATAGATGCAAATATATGTGTATACCTACTATACATAGAGTTACTGTATTTGCTACGCTCACTGTATATGCGTGTATGTAATTGCTGTATATGCGTAGCAGATGCGGCAGCTGTACAACTAGAGTGTAGCCTGACTAGGTGTGACTAGGCATGCCGTGACTAGGAATAAATAGGCGTAGCTAGTACAGTGTGTAGCTTGACTAGACGTAACTAGATTCGGTATAATTAGGTTACTATGTGTTACTACGAATAGACTGATTAGGACTACCCCCCTGGAACAACAGAAAGGAGCTGTGAGTAGGACGCACATTCCTTAAAAATTATGTACACAATAGTAAAAGTCTTACACATTGACGTCGATTTCTCAACGGATTAAGAAGTTTATATGTTAAACAGTTTCAGAGACAAATTCATAATCTGCTCACATCTGCTGCATTTCTCCTCATGCTAGCAGCAACACGTGGTTAAATGATAGCTAATTTGGCCAATGTTGGCTTAAACATCGACAATCGTGGGTTTATGATTACAAATCGACTGAAGGCGAGCGTCTGCGCTGCCTTCAGTCGGCTTCTTGCGTTCCTTTTCTTGCGTTCGCGTACGCATACTCCAACTCCTTTAATGGAAGCGTACTCGTAGCACAACAACAGTTTGTTTTTACTTACC